CATGCAGCTCGCTTTATTAATTGATGTGTTTTCTATCCGCGAATAATAGTGCAGATTTCGCGAAGTGGGTGGCTGAAGTAATAAACGTAAAATTATTTGTTTAGTGTATGCCTAGCTGCATGGTTCAATATAGTTTTCTGACATAAAGCAAAAAAAAAAGTTACTTGTTAGAGTGGCTCTTGGTCTATGAGTTACGCATTCTATTTTACTCTATTTTTTGTGTTAATTTCATCCAAGTGAACGCATCGTAGTGAAAGAAGAAATACACGTGTAGTCATATGTACGTTGAACGAATGACTGCACATGTATCTCTTCTTTCACTTCGATGCGTTCACTTGGATGAAATTAACACCAAAAAGAGAGTAAAATAGAGTGTGTAACTCATTTTAAAGGGTAGACTCTCTGCTAACACCGCAAGTGCGAGTAACCGTACTCGAACATTTGTTTCTGTGCAAACTTTCAAAGAGAGAGTTTCTATTTATGTTTATGCTAACACATATAATCTGAAACTTTAACGTGCGATGGAACGAAAAAGTTCAAATTATAGCAATTTACAGTTTCCAATCCACACGGCAGTTTAAGAAAGTTTGAACTAAGGTTTTGGTACTGAATGGTTTAACACTGAAAAAATGTAATGCGCGTCAAACTTGTATTTACCTTCATTAAAATTCTGCCAAAATATATTGAAATTTTATTACATATTCCATAACATTTTTTTTTATTCTTTTCTCATGCAATAATTTACTACGTATAGATTTATTGGATTATTATTTTCATAATGGTGGGCGATCGAATGTAGAATGAATGCTTTTTATGCAAATAAAATTCAAATGAATCCAGTCTGTTTTGAAAAGTACGTCAGGGCATTCCGTTTGACGTTATCATTTGGCGTTGGTACAAATTCTACCGTGTACACAATGTGTGTGCGTGTGCTACACATAAGTATATTAAGAAGTAGCCGGTTTTAGGCTTTTGTTGAATAGTTTCTTTCTTGTAGCGAAGAAGATTAATCAATAATGGCTATTATTAACTGTGGATTTTTAATTTTGATGGTAAGTTTTAAATGTGAATTTCCTAAATACTTATTATTATTACGTTAATATTTTCCTTTGTTAGATATTGATCAGAGATGTAGAGTTATGCCGAGAAAAGAGTAGAGATCAAAGTAACATAAACAAGAGAATAATTTCGTAAGTATTTTGTAGATTTTTTACATTTACTTGATGTATGTCCTTGATATTACATCCTTCTCATTTAGATTAAATGAATACAAAATAGAAGTACAAAAGATAATAGCAGAAATTAGAAAACCAAGTGAACGCTTAAGCGATGACATCGTGGACTATTTGCTTGAAAATCTGAACAATGCCCAGCAAACATATAAATTTGGTTCTGTTTTTCATTACAATGCGACCGATTTTTATCAACAATTCAGCACAACCACAAGAGATGACATTCAAATTTTAAGCGGTGGACGTCTTGGTCACCCAAATGCGATTTCACACTATATTTGCATTTGTTATAGACATAGACAACATATTGTATATATTTATGATAGTTTATTTCGACTTAAAATAACCAAGCGTCATAGAGAAATCATGCAAAAGCTTTATCCAGCTGCAATCATTTATAAACATAAAAAGCCAGCAACCCTTCAACATGATTCAACATCAAGTGGACTGTTTGCAATAGCTTATGCAACAATGTTGATATTAGGAAAGGATCCAACCACTTATGAGCTTAAATTAAATACAACAGAAGGTGCCGATCAAGGCAGTTTCATGCGAGAACATCTTATAAAAATGTTACAAGCGAAAAAATTATCACTCTTCCCTTCGACTGATCAACTATGAGAATGTGAATTTTAAATAATAATTCAAAATTGGTGTTGGTTCACAGAAAGAAAAAATGTGGTATTTTTAATTCAATTTTGGTAGATTTAATATAAAATCAACCAACAACGAATTAAATTTACCATTTTTGACATCTCTGAGGCATATTTCTCAAAAGAGACTATCAGTTTAATAAGTTTTACCAATTGCTCCATTACATTTACCAAATTCATGGGCTAGCGTTATCTGTGGTTTCGAAAAGTTGGTAAATGTAATGAAGCAGTTGGTAAAACTTATTCAACAAATAGTCACTTTTGAAAAATATGCCTCAGAGATGTCAAAAATGGTAAATTTAATTCGTTGTTGGTTAATTTTATATTAAATCTACCAAAATTGAATTAAAAATACCACATTTTTTCTTTCTGTGTTCACGTATAGTTTTTTGAGTAACCAATGTTTTCATTTTTTTTTTTCGACTAAAATGTTTAACAAATCTACTTTTTTTAAAAACAATCACTGTATTTACCTGAGAAAAAAGAGTGATCCTTCTGGTAAAACAACACGTCGTTCGGATGGCACTAGAGGCGTTCCATTATGATACCATTGAATTGAAGGCTGGGGGCGTCCAGTTGCTCCACAATTTAGTGTTAAGGGCTCATCTGTATTATATACAGATATAAATGATATATATTCATATATAGTTCAAATTGAACTGTTCAATAGTTTTATTTTTTTACAAACCTCGCGTTGCCAGAGCATCAGACGGATGCTCTACAATTTTTGGACGTTGTTGTGCTGAAAAGAAAAATCCAATATTTAGTTTTCGTTTTTGGATGTTTTAAAAGTGACCATTCATTGTTCACAGTTTTCTAAAATAGTACCGTTTGAATAATAAATTGAAACGGAATAAACTCCGATCCCGAATATTTGGGAAAAAAATTACTTAGTAAAAATATTAAAACAATACATCACAGAGACGATGCCAAGTAATGCGCCACGCAAATATTGATCTTTTCACACAGCATATTTTGCTTATGCAATGTTTGGAATCGCTATATGATTACAATATTATAATATTCAACCAATAATAAAGATGCCACCTAGTCGATTCGGTATTTAAACTAAACTGACAACCACTAACACTTAAAGAGACGAACATTTGGTTTTGCCATCATATCAATTTATATGTGATGTTTTAAATATTCAATCGCTTTGAAGACAGCGTATATAAAATTATATTTTTTGATCTCCTATTAGATCACACCGAAATTATGCCCCATAAGAGACTGTATAAAATGCAAAACTGTAGCACTGCTAGCGCCACTACGGACAACTATGAAGTTCTAGTCTGTTGTTTGCAACTGAGCAAAAGTCTTTTCACTATTTGGCGGCAACTTAGTGTAAATTACACTGAATTCCGTCGTGGCGCTAGCAGTGTGACAGTTTGGGTATAATTTCGGTACGTATTAGATAAAGTAGTGCTTACACTCTTATATTATTGGGATTACCCCAAACACATTTTTGGATTTTTTACCATGATTACTCCAAAAGGAGTCAGAATGACTCCAAATGGATTAAATTATTATTTTGTAAACAAAGAAATAATTTTCATAGTCAAATTTTTTATATTGTTTTCTGAAGTTTTACGGAAGCACGAATTACTTTTGAAACACCCTGACATCTCTGATATTGTGAATTTTACAACAGAACGTTCACAAAATCTTTATGTCAACGAACGTTGTGAATTGTCTAACAATCGTTGTCATTGTGAATATACATATGTCATTGTATATTGTACGTATTCACAACGACAACGATTGTTGGACTATTCAGAACGTTCGTTGACATAAAGATTTTTTAAACGTTCTGTTGTAAAATTCACCACATTAGAACTGTCAGTACATTATGGGGTGTTTTAAAATAATTTTATTGTGAAAAATAGTTCTATGTTCACAAAATGATAATTTAATCCATTTGGAGTCATTTTGACTACTTTTGGGGTAACATTAGAAAAAAATCCGAAAATTTGTTTGGGGTAATCCCTACAATATAAGAGTGTAGAAATAGAATTGTATATACAAGACAGCAATACAACGTGGACTAAAGAAATTTGGGAAATTCAGAACTTATTAGAGAATGTTCACATTAGACTATGCACATAATCAGACATTTTTCGTTGCATATAGGAATTTCAATTTCTTTATTGGCAGCTCCAAAGTCAAAAAGGCTGGCGTCTGGATATTTAATAGGGTAGTAAAAGTTTTGTCATAATTCAGTCGATGAGAAGACGGCGAATAAATGTGTAAATGACTAAATATGTTTGTACTACCCACTGTTTTGATATTTTTCTGTTTGGTTTTCAATGCATGAATAAAAATTAGCACTGAATTTCTTTTGGAATGTAATAAACTCCTTGTAGGGCCTCAGTTTTATCACCATTTTCATTATATTCGTTTTAGAAAAGTGACCTGAAGTTAATTTAATTCTCACTTTAATTTTGATGCATTCATATGTACTCTGAGAGTACTACTCTCATACAATTACTCTCTTCGTTAGGGATACGATTTTGTAATGACAATTCTGTCATTGGTATTTAATTTCAAACTTTTCAAAAGTATTTACAATTTACATGAAATAAACTTTGGATCGTAGATCGTGTAATAAATATGTGTCAAAATTGCGCTTGTCCTGAATGTTAAGATATTATTTTTGTTTATTTCTAAGGAGAATAAAAAAACAAATTTTGTGAACTAGTTGTTATATATTTTCAGCATGCTGAATCCGCTAGTGTGTAATAATTCTTTTATTCAACTCTGTCGCACACACATCATAAATTAATTGTTGAATAATGTATTAGTGAATGAAAACAGCACTTTATTTTCGCCACTAACATTTTTTATTCCTTTCTTTTGTTACCTCATTTTCTAAATCTTCAGTTTGGCAAACCGAAAATGGCATTGGAAAATGATTCCCCACGAAATACGAATTACGTGCAATCAAATTAATCAATCGAAACAATGGTAATTGTTTGATTTATTTATGTCAAACAGAAAAAACAAAAAAAGAATATAATGGAAGCAGAGTAAAAAAGGGAGCAAATAAACCGAACAAATGACAGAATTTCATGAATTCGTTGCTATTAAAAATTTTGGGTGCGGGAACGCTAACAGCAAGACAGTGCATTGATTTAGTTTAACTTTTACTTTAGTTTAACTGGCTTTATTTTTGCTTCTGTTTCTCAATTCAATTCCCATCCAGTTCTCGATTCAATTCCCATACTCGTTTTGCAACATTCATGAAATTCACATAATGAAAAAAGGAAAAATCGACATTTCTTATATCGAGTGCCATCATAACCGCAAAATAAAAATTAAACTCTCGTCTTCACCAATACCGTTATAATTGTAATCTAAATGGAAAACGTAGTCATTGATTTTATTGATATGCATGCTTCATAAATTGAACTGAGATAAATTGGTTCTTGTTTTTTGAATCTTGTTTTTTTTTCTTCATTGTTCCTAAAAATTCTGTTCTATCTTGTCGTTTGTTAAATATTAAAAAAAAACAGTTTAAATATTTAATGTTTCCTCGAAGCAAATGAAATGACTGTTCATTTAAAAAATCATCGTTGCACTTGCTGCTCGATGAAAGTTTGATCGATGTTGTTGTTAATTTTATTTATTAAGTACTAAGGTTTGTTGGCTTGCGTGACGTTCATGTTATTTGTTTCTCTTTTTTGCTTCAAAATAATTTCTTATTGTATTTCTTTTTCACGTTTTCTGTACTTTTTATGAGAGTATAAACCGGTGGGCGCTGGTGAAGCACTTTTTGTATTGAAATATTTGTTGAAAATTCAACGATACGCCACCTATTAAAGACAATAAAGATTTTCATTACTACTGCTGTGTTGACACAGCTCTAGCGAACTATATAGCTGTATTGCAAACGTATTAGTACTGAGCACACGACTCCGATTATGTGTGAGTGTATGCGTGTGTGTTATAAATTTTGCACAAGCAGCTATAGCCGTATACGGTTGACAACTGAGTGCAGAATTTGCAATACAAACGGACACACAAAATCAGAGTCAGTGTATTCTTTAGTAACAAAAATCTTTATGTCTTTTAATAGATGTCGTATTCGTTGAATCTTCAACAAAAAGTCTTCGATACCAGTGCCCACCGGTATAAACTCATCGTTATCGATAAAGAATATTATGAATGACGAAGACAAAATACAATACATATTTTGATTGCTTGTATAAAATAGTGAAAAGATTCCATAAACTATCGATCTATAATACAAAACAGAAACACCAGACTGATTTTGCTTTGTAAATTCCTCACTTTCTCGTAATTCAACAAAAACTACGTGCAAATTCAACAAATTCATTTATAATCTCTGCAAATTTATAATAAATGTATAATTTCAATATGTATTTTAAAAGAGCTGTTTCATAAGAGCGCCGTCATTGAATACTATGGCTCTTTTTGGGCTCGCTCTCCGCTCTTTCTGGATAGAAATAGAACTGTCATTTTAGTTTAGTTGTTACAATGTTTTGTTTCTTGTGCACCTTTTGAAATATTTTACACCCGGAAATAGTTTTAAAAAAAATACTTGAATGAGCGAAGGATGAAGTCATTTCACGAAATTTAAAGGTGTTTATATGAATAATAGGCTGATTCCGCGCTTGACACATAAAATTCCATAAAATTCATACGATGTACAATTGTACAACGACGATGGTAAACAGTTAAACGGATGTTTTCCTTAAATCAATCGTTAACAAAAATTCGAAACGGTATCAAGCATAATTTTTTTTTCTGTTTGTTTGCCCGGCGCTACAATTTTTTCGGATTTTAGCTTGTTCTTTTAAGAGTCAAACGACGCTTGATGTCGCATTTTTCTCATCTTTTCATGTGTTTATGTTTCGCGCACTAGTGGAAGCTTTGATAAAAGACAAAAGTTGGAAATGAATTTTGGTTTACATCTGCTCGATCTTCTCTAAGAACCAATATGTACCATTTTTCGAGTGTGTCATCTGGATTTAAGCCTGTTTTTTCTTTAATTCTTTGTATAAATGTGTTTTTTACCTATAACTTTGTTGATTTTTTTAAAAATTCCTTTCTCTTTATATGTTTAACTCAAACATGTTATAAAAATGCGACGAGCGAACACTAATTGCACCATTGGAATTTATTTGTAATTGAATTTGTAATTGTCAAAACTTTTACTTCTTTTACTCAAATGAAACACAAATACTAGCCCGATAAATGCCTGATGAAAACTTCAGTAAATTCAAATAAGATTTGCTTCGATGGATTCAAAAGCACTTCGATCAGAGTATTCTTCTACCCTCCTTTACTCTTTCGACCTCAAGTTCTAACAGCGCCGCCATTTCATCTGCGGTGGTTCCCTTGAAAAATTGTCTCAAACATAGTAATTTATCTTTACTATGTTGCCCGGATGTCAATGTTTCCAAGGCCTGATGTATCCTTCTCTATATCTTTTCCCTTTCTTCTCTCTACCGCACAAAAACCATTTAAACTTTCAGTTGAACGTGAAATGTTTGTATTCTAAAATAAGTGTTCGAATCATCGTTGAAGACAATGAAAAAATCGAGATAGCATACATTTTCAACCACCAATCAATCATCTAACCCAGACTGTGTTTTCATGCTATTGAACTCAATTTTCACTGAATAGACCAATTCGTAATTTTGTTGTTGCATTCAGAATTGTGCATATAAACGAAAATGAGGGGAAGATGGAGATAGGAGAAAAAGTTGAATGAAAAAATATCCATCGTATATAACGAATAAATGAAAAAGTTTTCGGGCAGTATCGAAAAATGGGAACGAACAACACCTTCAGCATATTCTTATGTACTTTCGCTTTTGCTCTTCGTATATAACGAACGCGATAGAACGTACAATGAACCGATTGAGATTCTAAGCAATACGCCCAACGGACAAATATGTAACGTTTTTAGGAC